GATTGGAAGAGTCAATATTGTCAAAAAGACTGTAATACCAAGGCAATCTACAGATTCAGTGTAATCCCTATTAAACTATCAATGGCATTTGTCACAGAACTAGAGCAAAAAATTTTTTAATTTATATGGAAACACAAAAGACCCCAAATAACCAAAGCAATCTAGAGAAAGAAAGACGGAGCTGGAGGAATCAGGCTCCCTGACTTCAGACTATACCACAAAGCTACAGTATTTGTATATATTCTTTTGTTCATCAATTCACTTAATGGACATTTATCAGATGCCTACTATGCGCCAGAGGACTCAAGGTCCACTCATTCGTCCAACACGTATTTAGTGAGCACCTACTATGTGCTAGGGCTCTGGCACTCCACTCATTCACTCAACAGATGTTTACTGAATGCCTGCTGTGTGCTCAGATACTGTTCTAGGCACAGGAATAGAGCAGTGAATGCAACAGACAAAAACTCTTGCCCTCCTGGAGCTCTCTCTTATCTCCGCAACATTGCAGGGTTGACCTGGTTTCCCCCCATTGTACAGCTGAAGAAACTGAGGCCTAGAGAAGTTAGGTGCCTATCCCAAGGCAAGTGAGTGGCTAGTGAGTGGCAGAATCAGCCTAGACTCCAAGGGACAGATGTTACCTGGTAAGGTGACATCGGAGACACTTGTTAACCCTGTGTCTCATCACAGAGTTTGGAGGAAGTTTCCAGAGAAGGGTGCTGCTGGCTGTGGGGTTGGAACCCCACCTCTGCTACTCCCAACTGTGTGTGCCACCCCTCCTCACTGTGCCCGGAGCTCACAACTCCTAACCCCCAGGGTGGCCATCGAGGTTATAAATGGACGTGGCGGTCAGCTCCATGCAGGCAGGTGGCCCACCCGCTTGTTCTCCCCTGTATCCATGGTGCCCAGCACATAGTAGGTGCTCAGCCAGGGGTAACTCTTTCGGACCCAGCCTGGAGCCTGTGTGGCTGGATGCCCAGGAATGCCACTGGCTCCTTATCAGGCAGGTATGCTACAAGCCTCTTCCTGTTGGGGTAGACTGAGGGGCAGGTGCAGAAGGTCCCAAGATGTTTCTGGAGTCCCTCCTCAGAGAATCACAGTGCCCCCGCCTAGCTCGTGTCTGCACCCGTCTCCCAGAGGCTCGGAGTACGTCCTGTGCATCACATCTCTCCCTGGCTGAGGCAGGCACAGCAACGTCTTGATTAGCCACCACCCATACGTCACGCGATGCTAATGGAAGGGAGTTCCACCTGAGCTGAGCCGTCCCATGAGGACAGCTGGGGAAAAAAATGAGTCTTCCCAGGCCCCTGGAGGAAGACGGGGGAATGTGCTTGAAGTGTCCAGAGCCAGGGCAGAAATGGAGAGGATCACCGTGACCCAGACAGCAGAGCTAGAACCCACACCCTGAAGCTTGCAAGAGGGCGTCTGCATTCAGATTCAGTTCTGCGGTCTCCACACACAAAGGAGTGGATGCAGCAAACTTCTCCCTTGGAGTGGTGGAGCAGACAGGAAATAGAAGAAGATGCTGCAGAGGCGTGGGTGGATTTCTGGGTGGTAAACCCAGGAGGCAGCGCTCAGCCAAGCCGAGGCTTCTCTCTCTCTCTCCTTCTCCCCCACCGCGTCCCCATCTCCCCTCCCTCCCTCCTCACTCTGCCCTCCGCCACTGAGTCTACACTGCTGGGACTGGGTTCTGGTTTCCAGCCCCCCAGCTGAGGCTCTGAAGGCACCGACCAGACCGCTCCACCCCGTGACACCCACACATGGGCCCCCAGCAGGGCTCCGTGGTCAGTACTTGGGGGCAGCCAGGGGGGCCCTGAGCGGGTGTCCCTTCTGGAAGATGCTGCTCCTTGTGGGCCTTGGGGAAGGCGGGCACATCTCCGCTGCTCTGGCCCAGCCGAGGTCCCCCACGGCTCCAGCCCAGCGAGCCTGTGTCCTCTGCGCCTGGACAGCAGCACACATGGGCTGCGACCTCCAGACCCCACTGCTGGGCTGCTGACGGTTTCGTGTGCCCCGGCCTGTCCCACCTTGTGGTCAGAGATGAGGAAGGCCGGCCCTCAGCTGCCAGCCCACACCCCACCTGCGGCCCTCCCCTCTGTCCCCCTGGCCTTGCCCTCAGCCTCCCTCTTCCTTCGCCACCTCCATTGCCACTGGTCTCTTCCTCTCCATTCCCCCATCCGTTCTCACTTCACCTTCCCTCTTGTTGGTCCTGCTTCTACTTCTCCCCACTTCTCTTTGCCCCTCCTCCACTTTCCTCATCCTACCTACTTTCTCTTCCTCGGAGACTTGATTTCCAAGGTAGACTTGACTCAGTTCGACAACGCTTCCTGAGCACCTACTGTGTGCTGGGTACAGTGCCGAGTCACGGTGTAGAGATGAGACTCAGCAGGGTCTCGACAGCACAGGCTGGAGAGCTGGGGTTCTCCCACCCTCCTCTCCTTCTGCCCTTTTCCCCTGCTTCCTCTCCTCCCCGCCCCCCCTCCTCCTGTAGCTTCTCTTCCCTCCCTGTCTCGGCCTCTGCAGCCAGAGGGGAGCTGGGGCGAGTGGGATGGCAGAGTCCCAGGAGGCCCGGCAACAGGAGCCCTGGGTGCTGCCATCCCCACGTGACAGATGATGGAGGAGATTGAGCGCCCAAGACACATTCATCACGTCCGCCTCCTTTCAGGGCCAAGACAGGACGGAAATGACTTTTGTCAGCTCTGCGGCAGCCCAGTGCCCCTGGCAGCTCCAAGCTGTTTATTAAAAAAAAAAAAAAAAAAAAAAAAGATGAAGAAGAGAAAGAAAGGCATGTGAATGCCATCTTGCCATGTGTTAGGGGAGCGATTCTAAAGTGATGATGTTGACAAACACCCCTTCAGGTAATCACACAGGAGCTCTGCAGCTCCCTTCCCAGCCTGCGTCCAGCTGTGACGAGATGGAAGATGACAGGCAAGAAATAGGAAGGGAGCAGCTGCTCTGGGCAAATTGCGAGGCTTTTGTTTGAGCACATGGGGGCCAGCCTTTGCCGGGAGTGATGGGACGCAGGGTCACCTGCCCGTTCATTCTCCTGCCCACTCCTCTTGGGACGTCACATGAGGCTTTTGTGGAGCCCAGTGGTGGGTTAGGCTCCAGAGACCCAGAGGTTGTTAGTAGTAATCGTAACGAGCCCTAACGACTAATTAGTGATGGTTAATAGCCATTCATTATCGATTATTATTAATCATAACTGTTAACCATTATTTGAGGAGCTAGGTGCCCGGCATGGGGCCCAGGGCTTTTCTTCCCTCCCCTTGATCTCCCTGTGAGATCAGGACAGTGACCTGGGCTAGGAGGAGGGGGAAGGAGTGCATCCAACGAAGGGAACAGCAAATGCAAACCCCGGAGGCAGGAAGAGCGTGGTGTGTCCCAGGAGACCCATGTGGCTGCAGCAGAGTGAGCCAGGGGCTAACTCACAAGACAGAAGGTCGGGGAGGGGGTCGGGAGCCTGAGCCCCTGGAAGACTAAGGATAGTGAGGACAGTGCGTGATGGAGGCAGCGCGTCGACACGCCTACCTTGGGGTCCATCTCGTGGTCTCCTCACCGCCCCCAGACTGTGACATTGGTCCTCTCCACCTAGCAGACCTAGGGCATGAGGAGGGACAGATGAGCGCAGCCAGTCCTGTGCCTGTCACTCAGGGAACCTTTTCACAGAGTATCATCGCCAGGGTCCTGGGTCAGGGGAGGCTCCTGCTAGCATCAGAAGAGAGAGGCTTCTGGGATGGTGGGAGCTCAGGAAGGCAGTGCCTAGGTCCCTACCCGGGTCCCTGAAAAAGATCCCAATCCCCTACCCTATCTGTACTCTCCTCTCCTGACATCACCTCCAGGGGCCGTGGGCTTGGCTCCTTCTGAGACTGAAAAGCCCTTTGGGTCACTGTGGTCAGCTCTTTTCCCTTTAAACTATCCTACATGGTCAGGGGATGGAAATGGTGATAATCAGAGTGTGGTGAGCAGGACACCTTCCTCGGTCTCGTGCCAGCATTCCAACCTTTATGTGTAGGAGGCTGGCTCCTGTAATCCTTCCTGTCGTGACAGAGCAGCAGGCAGGGGCCGACGACGGGAACCTGCATCACCATCGCTCCCACCTCCTTCAGGCTGAGCCCTGGCCCCAGCTGCCACGCCCAAACTCTGACATTTGGCGCTTTTTTGTAAATTACAGCTTTGCTGTTGTCTGGGAAGGAGGTCGCTTGTCTTAGAGGGAGGACAAATAGATTTTATTTTTTTAAAGAACAGTGGATGGATTCCAGTCTCTCTCCTCTAAGCCCTGCTTTTCGTCTTACAGCCTATAATTTTGCCCCACTGCGAGATTCCCACTCTTCAGAGGCAGTGGTTTTGGCTCAGCTGCTGCAAAATGCCTCTGCCTGGCGGTCCCAGAATAGAAAGCGTCTGTCCTCTTGTGTATAGTCTCGGTTTCAAGTTGATTTGATGGAGCTGTTTCCCTTTTGAAGGACCGTTTTTTTTTTTGTTGTTTGTTTGTTTTTAATCCCACCCGCATCCCATGAAACAATCGGGTGTCACGGAGCATCTCGTTCAGGCGCATGTTTGGGTCACTGGCTCCAGCAGGCTCTGCTTGGTGGGGCTGTCCTCCGGGCTTGGCCCTAAATAAATAAATAAATAACCTCCCGTAGGTGCCCCTGAGTCTTCAAGAAGGAAATTACCTATTTCACAGCAGGCTGTGTGGCGATAGGTCCTATCATGTCAGAGATGATGCCTCGTAAAACTGAGTCATCTCTCAGAGGTGCAGTTTTAACCTACTCAAACGTACTTAGTCAGGTTTAATTATAGACAGAAATTGCATTTCAGAAAGCGACAAGAAATCATTTGCGCGGCTTGAGTCTGCGCATTCAATCGTACGGTTCATTGGAGGGTGCAGGTGGGGTCAGCATTTCCAAAGAAAAATAGTATTAGTGCCCGCGCTCTGGGGCTCAGTCGCGCCAACTGTGGAGACGGCACGGTGTCCGCTGACGGCGGGTTTCTTCTTGGCACAGGATCCAGGAGGCGGCCAGTGATGGGGCCCGGGACACCCACAGCAGGACCTGGGGGAACAAGGCCGCGTCCCCGCTCTCCCTCCGCCGAGGAAATTACGGCCACTTGGGGGACGGCGAAGAGTGTGGCGTCCAGAGAAAGCCCCCGGAGAGGTCGGGCGTGCTGTCCTCCTCCCCGTCTTCCTGGAGTGGAGACGTGTCCCCGCGGCCCAGGGACAAGCTGCCCAGCCCGTCGGCTGCCCTGTCAGAGTTCGTGGAAGGGCTCCGGAGGAAGAGAGCGCAGAGGGGCCGGGGGTCGCCGCTGGGCCTGGAGGACTGGCCCACCCTCCCCATCTACCAGACCACCGGGGCGTCCACGCTGCGGAGGGCCAGGACCAGCAGCGACGAGGGCGCTCTGGCTCTGAGGGCCGGGGCCGAGTCACCCCTGGACACGTCGGCCGGGCTCCTGCGGTCCACCAGCCTGAAGTGCATCTCCTCGAAGAGCGTGGGGGGCCCCAGCCCGCCACCCGAGAAGCTGAAGACCCGCTTCAGTTCCTGCGAGTCCCTCCTGGAATCGGGGCCCGGCTCGAGGAGGACCCCGAGCTCCCCGACGGCGCTTAGGCGCTCGTTCTTGTCGCCCACGCTGTGCCCGCGGAGGCGCTGTCTGGAGTCCTCGCTGGAAGATGCGGGCTGTCCGGACCTTGGGAAGGAGCCGCTCGTCTTCCAGAACCGCCAGTTTGCACACCTGATGGGGGACCCCCTGGGCAGCGACCCATTCAGCTGGAAGGTCCCGAGCATCACCTATGAACGCAAGACCCAAGTGGGTTTCGATGACTTCCTCCCGGCCATCCGGAAGCCGGAGACGCCTACGTCTTTGGCCCGAGCGGCCAAAGATGGGCAAGACAGTTCACAGCGTCCAAGCGTCCACTTTGAGATGGAAGAGGCCGACGGGGGCTTTGTCTCAGGGATCACCACCGTTTTGAAAAAGAGCCTGGAGTCCAAGGAGGACCCCGCTCACCTCTCCGACTCCTCCTCCTCCTCCAGCTCCATCGTGTCCTTCAAAAGCGCCGACAGCATCAAGAGTCGGCCAAGAATCCCACGGCTGGAGGGTGACAGTGGTGAGAGAACATCCCCCGAGATCAGAGAGCCGGGGACAGGGAGGAAAGAGGAGGATGTTGAGAGCATCATGAAGAAATACCTACAGAAGTAGGAACCAGCTCAGGTAACTGCGACAGGCTGGCCTGTCCTCCTGGGGGGATGAAACGAGGTGGTCCACCCAGGTCTGGCAGCCTGGAGGCAACCGGTTGCTGCTACTGCTTTTAGGTTTTCACTGAAATAATGTGTTGCTATTTATGCAAATAATGTGTTGCTGGTAAATAGAAAACTTATCAGAAGCCCTCACTAGGTGCCACCGGTTTCTCTGCTCTTGAAAATACAGACCATCAGAAAGTGTGAGGTCCTGTGGGGGGCGGGGGAGAGGGTGCTGAAGGAGGCGCTGGGCTTTTAAAGTTTTCCCACCCTTGTCCTGTTCTCTTTCCAGCGCTCCTTTCACCTGGTGCTGGGGGAGCCATGGAGGCATCTGTCCACACAGTGACGGGAGAGCCCGGGTGGATGGGGGGAGGGTCAGGCTAGCACAGACGAGGCCTTGACATTAGTGAAGTCCAACTCTTGCATTAAATGTGTAAAGAGAAACTGGGGCCCAAGAAGGGGGAGGAGGGGACAAGTACAGAGGTCCCAGAGCGCCACCGTGGGAGCGGCAGTGCTTCCCTCCGCCTTCTCCTCCCGTCCCGGTCCTGGCACTTCTGTGCAGTCAAGGTGGGAAGAGACATTCGTTGCTAATAACAGCTCCAGCTGATGGAATGTGTTTATCAGGCAGTCATTTGGTGCCCACAGTTACCCCAAGAGGTGGTGAGTATGATTTATTCCCATTCTACAGGTTGACAAACTGAGAATCATATAGGTTAAGGCACTTGTACAGAGTCACCCAGGCAGAACGGGGATTCGAATCTCCAGAGTCCCCACACTTTTGTTGGTGACACTTTTTCTTAGGTACGTATCCCAGGCCTCTTTGTGAGTAAGCTCAGAGCCACACTGATGGAGCTGGGTCTTTAGAGGGGTTGCCTCTATGGAGGGCAAACTGAGGCAGAGCTTAGAATCATACATCTAAAGGGGGGTTGGAACGCAGACTCCAACCTCACTCTTGGGCAAGTGAGGAGGACCTCAAGATCAAGGTCACCCAGTGAGTCTGCCACCAACCCAGCCACCCTGACTCCCAGTCCAGTGCTCTTTGCCCTGAGGCCAGGCTGGCCCCTGACTGCACCTCGTAGGGCATGTTTCAGACTCCAGGGCACTGAGTCTTCCACTTCACAGCTCCCGACTGAAATGCAAAGCCCCTCTGAGGCAGGCCAGGAAGCAGCGGAGGGGGAGTTAGAGCCTCCCTCCGGGTTCAGATGCGATGCAAACCCACATCCCAGTGGCAGGTCCCCCACCCCGGTGTCCGTAAATCTCGGCGTCACTGAAGCTCAGAACTCGCAGCGGCTCAAGGCTCAGGTGGTCAAGTGGTCGTGCTCAGCCCACACCTGGCTCAGCCGCCAGCCCTCCTTCCAGAGGCCTCCTGGACCCAAACAAGCCGCACGTCCTGTCACTTTGAGAGTCACCCTCAGCCCATCAAAAAGCCATTGCCCCTTCCACGGAGACGGGCTTGGACCGTATCAGAGCAAATTAAATTGACTTAACATGGCCTTCTCTCTGCTCTCAATTACCGAAGAGAGATCTGATATTCATTTACATTATTATGCTCTCGGGGACACAGAACGCAGTTTCAAAGGCCAAGTAAAGGGCACACGTCCCGAAGGGGAACAGTGCTTAGCAAACGTCGTCACAGAACATCTTGTCTCTGCCATTTTTTTTTAAAGCTCAGCTCCCCTTCCCCCCTCCCAGCAACGCTCCCTGTGATAACGGAGCGCCTGCCTAAAAATCTCCTCCACCTTTGACTTGCACGCTGTAGTCTTGAGCTCGACAATACAGCTCCATTGCCCATGATACAAATGTGTTACAGGATTCGGAGCCACTCAAGCCCCCAGAGCTCAGTTCTTCCCTGTAACTGCCGAGCGATGCAACCTTGCTGAGCATCTGTGTTCTCAGCTGGAAGATGGGGGTAGTAATGCCAACTACCCAAAGTAGCATTGTGAGCGGCCTGTGAATCAGAGACCCCAGCCCAGAGCACTGCCCCAGCGGCCACAGTGCATGTCAGGTACCTGCACTTGGAAATGGTGGCCCTTCAGGATGTCTCTCAGGCTCCCTCCACTCGTTTCCCTTCTGCCCCCTCCTATCTCATTCCGCTCAGCACATCGCTGCAGTAACGCCACCTGGGAATATGGGCTCCAGGGGCTTCCACCCACCAAAACACACACCCCAGGCCCCATTTCTCAGCTCTGACCTGCATTTGTTTCCAGCCTCCTGCGACACATTGCCCTCCTTGAAGACTTCCCGACTCCACGACGTTCTGGAGAGAGAGACAAAGACCAGCCAGGCCTCCCCAGGGGCCCCGAGTCCACAGCCAGTGTGGCCGCCCTCAAGAGGCCAGGGGGGCCAGCAGAGGCACATCCCATGGGGCGTGGGGCTCCCAGCATGCTAGGTCTGTACCAAATAAAGTGTTGGCTTCTTGGCATCTGGGCTTTCTCTCTATTCTATGATCATGTTACCTAGGACTCTGGAGGATTGATGGTGTGCACCTTGGGGTAGAAGGGTTCTGAGGAAGGGGACCAATGCAAACTGTTTGTAGTTTCGGGTGCACACTGCTATTTCTTTCCCTGTGTGTCTACATGCAATGGCCTTGTTCGCTTGGCCAAGTTCTGCTCAAATGTCACCTCCTCCAGGAAGTCTTCCCTGATACATCAAGCTGAAATAAATGCTCTTTCTCTATTCTCCCTTAATTCCCATGCTTCTATCATATTTCCCTTGTCTATTTACATATCTACATTGTGTGTAGATGTGCGGGCATTCAAGAAATTTTGATGAATGAGTGACTGAACAAGCAAATGAACCACGGAACAAGTCAGTGGCTCATACACCCTGAATACCTGGGACACACTGACATATATGCATCTCTACAAATGTCCGCCCACAGCAACATTCAAGAACTTGTGACCATCTGTTCCCACAGTCCCCCGTACACCTCACATACACAGACTACCATGCACACACAACTATGCACGTGTACCAAAAACTACACTCGCAATGGCACACTTATAGCCTGGACACCTGCTTTATCAAACATCCTTGAAGTGTCAATAATCCTAAAACTGTAGGCTGATGTATATTGATCACATACTGTGTACTGACCACCGTGCTAGGCATTTTACACAGTGCATCTCACTCCAGCTTTATAAAGTCCCAAGAGATAGATCCACTTATTTTTTCCTATTTACAAAGGCAGAACTAGCTTATGCCCACATTCAGGTAGCCAATGCTGCTTCTCCTTAAGTTCCCACTGGCACAGACAACACGTCCTACCCCACATGTGCCTCTATTCCTAGGGCCCCTCTGGTACAGCCAGTCACAGCTGCCATCAGGAAGGAAAGTCCTGTTGGGATCACCGGTGAGTTAATTTGCTAGGGCTGCTATAATAGAGCACCACAAACTGCATGGTCTAAACAACAGAAACTGACTATCTTGAAGTTTTAGAGGCTAGAATTCAAACATCAAGATGTTGGCAGGGTTGGTTCCTTTGGAGTATCTTAAGGGATTCTCTCTTATATGTAGCCGTCTTCCTCCTGTGCATGTCTGTCTCTGTGTCCAAATTTCCTCCTTTTATGAGGACACAGTCATAGTCACAGTCAATCAAACCTAACCTCTACTTGATTGCCTGTGCATAGACCTTACCCCCAAATGAGGTCACACTCTGAGCTCCTGGGGGTCCGGGTATCTTGGGAGCATGTGGGGGACACAATTCAAGCCATAACAACTTACCAGTTGGCACTTACCCCAAGAAGGGGAGATCTCAGCTCTGACCATCCTCGCCAGAGGTTGTGGGTAGAACTGGGAAGGGGAGGAGAGATGCGGCAGGAAGGAAATTCACCGGATGCCCTCCCTGGAAGACCTCACCATCTGCCCGTCTCTCTGGTGGAGAGAATCAGTGGAAGAGTGGACTGTGTTTTCTCAGATGCAGGAGCGTTGTCCCGCTTGGTGAGTCTGTAGACAAATACATCATATATTTATATGTATTTAAGGAACGTCCCCCACCAGCCTGCCATGCACAGGAGTGGCCGCAGCTCACCGGAGAGAGCTGGGGCGTGTGGAGGGGACATCCAAGGTCTCTGCAGGGAATCAGAGCTCCTGGCAAGGAAGAGGGTGCTGTTCAAAAGCTTGCCGACGTTTGGGTGTGGGGTAAGGATGGGAGCAGACACAGCCCTGTGTCTTCCTCCGGTGGAACCCACGGAGCCTTGGAAAAGCCACTTCCCTCACTGGGCCTCAGTTTCCTCATCTCAACGGTGGGAATACTAGTTATTAAAATCTAATGGGATTTGGGCATGGGAGAGTATAGCAGGCTATACTAGTTTGCTAGAGCTGCTGTAACAAAATACCACAGGCTGGGGGTGGGCGTGGTGCCTAAACAACAGGAATTTATTCTCTCCCAGTTTTGGAGGCTGGCATCCAAGACAAGGTGTTGGCAGGTCTGGCTTCTGAGGCCTCACTCCTTGGCTTGCAGACGGCCGCCTCCTTGCTGTGTCCTCACATTGTCATTCCTCTGTGCCCATGCATCCCTGGTGTCTCTCTTTGTGTTCAGGTCCCTCATCTTATAAAGGAGCCCAGTCAGAGTGGATTAGGGCCCAGCCCAGGGGCCTCACTTGAACTTAGTCACATCTCTAAAGGCCCATGTCCAAATGCAGTCACCTGAGGTTATGGGTGTTAGGACTTCAACATATGAATTTTATAGGGGTCATAATTCAGCCCATAGCACATGCTATGCCAGAGAAGGTGACCAGTTAGTTTATTAATAATGATCATTATTATTAATGATCAGATAAACATGTTCCGAACTCCCAGCTTGGTCCCCAAACAAAAGCTATAGTGGAAATCCGGAATAGAGATTCTCACTGCCTTCCTGGCACTGGAGTTTTGCAGACATTTTTAGGGCCTGGAACCTGTGTGTTTCCATGTGCTCCTCCTCCTGTGCCAGCAGGATTACTTACCCAGCCAATATTTGTTGAGCACCTGCTAGGCACCAGGCACTGTTCCCCACACGGGGGATCCATGGAGGGCAGGTGCAGTGCCCCCTGCTTTTCTGGAGGCAAAATCCTCGCCGGGGAGACAGACAATGAGCAAGAAAATAAATATGTTGTCAGAGAGTGAGAAGCGGTATAAAGGAAAATAAAGATGAAATTATCTTGTAAGTTTCCTGTTAAAATTTTTCTGGACATTTATTTTACAGAGTACCTTTTGGTAAAGGAAGAAAGCCATCATTTTTCTTCAGTCGTGTGAGTGATGCATTCAAAAAAATTAAACCCAGATAACAACAGCAAAGCTTTGCTCATCGTACATCAGGAAACAGAAATCCTGAAGATGCTGTTAGAAATCAATTCAGCATTCTAGAAGATAACCACTGTCCCCCTGCCTCTCGAATCCCCCAACCCAACACAGCCTGATGCAGGAGATTCTGACCCAGCTGAGTCCTCCTCCCTGCAAGCTCACTCCAGAAATTCTAGCGTGGATCCTGGTGTCCCATTGAGCTCAGCCCAGGACCCAGTGCAGTAAGCACTGTGCAAGCCTTCACTTCTCCGACTTCTGCTACCCAGGGTAACTAAGTGGCTCATGACCTGGGTTCTGCCTTTCCATCCGCGCATGGCCTCGGTCAGTTCACCTCTTTCTGGGCCCTCCTTTACTCATCTGTGCAATGAGTCTAGAACTGGTACCAGCCTCCCAGCATCCCGTGAAAAATCAAATGCTCAGGAAGCACTTAGCACAGTGCCTGGCACGTAGCCCGCGCTCCACAGTGGCACCATTGGTCTTTGGGCTCAGAAACACTTTTCCCTGGTGCCCAGCTCAGAGGCTCCATCTGCACAGCTGTGCCCTGTGTGGTTTCCCTGACATCATAACCAAAGTCATTTCAAAGGTGAGGGTGTTGCAGGTGGGTTGAGTGGCTGCCCCAAACGTCTCCTCTTGTTTCCGGGCCCCGGGGCCATTTTTAGCAGCAGGACCTGGTCTTGAAACAAGCCTGGAGTCTCAGGACTGGAAGAAAGCCTCAAGGTAGTTTTACAAGTGAGGAAATGGAGGCTCAGAGAGGGAAAAGACCTGTCCCAAGACAAAGGTAGATCTGAGTTCAGAACTCAATTAACATTTTCTGGTTTAATCAATATTTATTAATCTTTCTACCACCCCATGTCCAGGGCACTGAAGAGAAAGCTGAGACTAGGATGGCCAGAGGGCCTGCCTTTGTGAGGCTTGTGGCTGACCGCAGGAGACAGTAAACTGGGATACATCCATCGGCTGGGCCCGCCCACCTGGTGGCCCTTCAGTAGCCTACCTGCTCCAGGTCACCCTCCCATGTCCGTCCCATCCCAGCCCTGCCCAGTGCCCTCCCCAAGCCAAGGGAGACCCAGCCCTGTCCCAAGCCCCCTGGCTGTCTGCACCATTCAGGGCTGAGGAACTGAGGTTTTGCATCCTTTCCCAATCCCAAGGATTGTAACAGGCGAGGGAAGACTGTGGCGGCTGGGGGACGTGGGTGCTGGAGGGTGCTGGATGTAGCCTCGGCAGCTCCAGATGTGACGAGTGGCCTGGCGGAGCTCCCGCTGTTGTCTTCCAAGAGTGATGGGCAGCCTCGGCTGGGTTCCCACCAGAACCGATTGCTTATTTACCTGTCAGCAACCTTCAGAGCTCAGGGACAAATGCTAGGCAGCAGGCCCGGTGATGAGGTGAGGCGGTGACCTTGTCACCCTTTGTTAAGAACCATTGCCACTCCCACTCCTTGTATGTGTGCAAGGAGCCAGCCTCTGTGCTGAGTGGTACTCAAACATCACTGCTAAGAAGCGGTGTTGGGGGTCTCGGCCCTGTCAATCACGCCATGTGTTCTACACCTGCAAGAAAACATTTTAAATGACTCGAAACGCTGCTTTGTAAGTAGCTGCACGAAGGCTCGGTAGCCCTGGGCAAAATCCTGCTATGCACATGCCTTCAGCATGCAGAGCTCAGGGCAGTGGCTTATTGAAGCCTCTCCGTCCCCCACCCCCCATCATCTCAAGTTTGTGGTCTTCCCGCTCAGGCTGGCGCAGAGGGGAGGGGAAGACACAGCTGCATTTGCCCAAAGCCCTTGCCCTGGCCCTGCCCCCGCCCCCAGCTGATCCTGGGGAGTAGTCTCTGGCCTGAGGTGGAAGGAGGCTGGGGGACGCGATGCTTTAAGGTACAGTGGCCTCGCCCTCGGTCAGCTGAGTCCAGTGACGGCAGCTGACTCTGAACAATTCAATAAACAGCAGTTCTTCATTGCTCAGCATGTGGGGAGAGGGAAACAAACAAGGGGTCAGGCAGGAGGTGGAAATGAGAGGAGAAGGTAGGGGCTCCCCCACCCAAAATCAGGTGTTGAGGCTCAGAGAGGACGTAAGTGGTGACAAGGGGAGCTAGGCTTTGAACCCAGAGCTCTGACTCCAAACCCAGGCATCCTTGATGAT